CCTCTTTAAGAAACTCCCACTCACCTTGAACTCCTTTTCTTGTTACAATCTCCTGTCATGAGACCTTACTTATTCTTGTTACTGAGTTTATTAAAATTAACATTCCTGAAATCCAGTATACATCTATGGCTACATTCTGGTTTGGTTCCTTTGGAATCTAGAAGGTACTTGAAAGGATTAACATCAACGACAGATGTTTAACGCATCTGTAACATCATGCATTGTTCTAGATAAAGCAAGCCTGAGAGATCTGGGGATTTGGGTGAAGGGGGACAGAGAATTCATGTGAGGGCAAACTTTGTTTCTCCTGAAGAGACCCTGCTCAGGTAACAGCATGGGGTAAGAATTAGAAAGAGAGCAAGGTCAGTGAGAAATTTCTTAGTTTCTAAGTGCTTACCTTCTTTAAGATGATCCCAGATTGGTTCTATAACTTCTTGTAGCCTTGTTCCATTTCACCAAGGATGTTTAGAGTAACTTATACTTTTTTAAAAACTTCTGTAATAATTTCAGCCTTTTTTGCTTTTCTGTTTCTTTTAAATAAAATACATAAAATTCTATCCAGGTGTTGTTTGGATTTTGGTGCAGAGGAAGACAAACCTGGAAGAAATATCCATCCTTTTCCAGACAAAAATCACTTTTGGATAAATCTCTTTATTCTGATCGGTCCATACCTCAACATTGTAGTCAAAACACATACAATAAATATGAACTATCCACATCAGCTAAAAAGACTGATAAAAAGAATAAATTGTTTTTCATTCCTGCAATACTGAGTGATTACATGTTTATTCTTTTTACCTTCCCCTTTTTCCATTTACACAGTTGAAAGATTAGTGACATTTATAACACTTGGCAAAGAAGCATAATGAGACCAAGTGTTAACAGTTCTGCATGAGTCACTTAGCCAACCTGCAAATCTTAGAGTACCAATCTTATCAGATTTTGGAAGCTAAGCAGGTTAAACCTAGCTGGAACTTGAATGGGAGACCACCAGAAAATACCAGGATCTTCAGGTAGGTCTGAGAGTTGCTACCAGTCAAGAGGGTATGATATTGTGCTAGAGTGATTATTCACCCAATTTAATGAAACTTTCTATGTTCCTGTGCAGCCCCATTAGACAATCCAAGAGATTTTTCAACAATGTAATTTTGCAGGAAATACACTGGGGAGATTGATTAATGAACAGATAACACAAGAAGTACTTGCAGCTTCTAATCCCCATACCTTTGCATATGAAAATGACTTGCAATATTTTAATTAGATTGCAACTCAGTAAACAATAATGGAAATACACCTGATCCTAAGCTCTTGCATACGCTTCTGCAGACAAGACAGATATTTCAAAGTCAAGGTGTGGGAAACATGCTTTATAATGGCAGGGACGCTTAGCATCCTGTTAATAATTTGTCTTTTACATATTTCTACATTATTCACCATTAGCATAGAGCATACTTAAAATTCCTTTCTTTAGACCATGCTCAAGTATCCTGCATTTCTGGGCACTATAGGCATGTGAAGAATCAGAAGAGCTTGGCTAGCAGATCTGGCTCAGCTGAGTCTTGTGGATAAAGCTTTACAAGCCCTAGTTGACTTGACAAGGTACACAGCTGTACAACCAGAGGTTGAGAGTTCAGTTCCCCTCTGTGCCTCTTGGGAGAAAAGCCAGCCTGTGTAGCCTTGGGAAAAATGCATGCCCAGAGCGCCCCCAGAAGGAGGGAATGGCAAAGTACTTTTAAGTACTACTCTATAAGCCCTTGTAAGTCTGAATCAACCTGAAGGTATGTAGTACAATACTATAGGTTCTTTTCACTCTTTGGAAAAGCAGAAAATTAGCATTTTGACTAACAAAATAGGAGTTATAGATCTCACACAAAATAACTCACATAAAATAACCTAGAAGTTGGATCACTGGCTTCACAAAAGCAGCATAGTAGTAAGGTATTACTGAATCGAGCTTAAATGCTGCCTACAATGACATTCATCCCACCCAACAACATCATGTGTAGGTCCCAGCTCATGATGGGATGAAGATGAAGCCTTCTTTAGAAAAGACACACATTAAACTAATCAGGCAAACACTGGAACCAATGTTCAGATCTTTAATATTAAAAGAACATATGAGATGACACAACACTTGACACTATACAGGAAAGAGGTTGCTATATAAATGGATATAAGGCCATGTTGTTAGAGATCACAATGAAAGCTAATGCAAGAAATAGGGGTTTTTTTTGCTACTGCTTTCGTGAACTTCTAAGCAACAAAATAATATAATCAACACAGATTCCACTGAGAGGAGACATGCAGACATCAGCAAAATACAGCAGCTGGCCAGCCAGGCGCAATATAATCCAGCTGCCTATTAGCTTCTCTGACAGAGCTACATATACTGAGCACAGGGTAGCAACCTCTCTCCATCACCATGCCTCACAACGAACATGTAGATCACATAATATAGGAATTTTATGCTGTACTTGTACAATATATTGAGTAAATCAATGAACAGCACTTGAAAACAACATTTAAGAATATTATATAGCTTCTTACAATTATCTTTTACTAGAACAGAGGTAGCACATTTTCTCATTAATACAGTATATCATTTACAGTAAAAATCAGTAGCTTCTGTGAGGCAAACTAACCTTACCCATCCATAGCTGAAGAGGTTCAGCTAGCAATGGGATAGGACCATTTATAAAAACTCACCAAAACCAAAATGAAACAAAGTGGAGGGGAGACAAAAAACCCACAAGGTTCGTAATGGGAGATAACTTTCTACAGATGAAAACCAGCAAAAAAAGCAGCATCCTCATTCATTTGAAATTGATGTGTACAACTAGTGTCAAAGACCTAAAATGCAGAAAATCACATAGCAAAACATACAATGCAGAGAATTTCAAACATAGCATCAGAACAGAAGGCTCAAGTCTAATGCTGCATGGAGTAAAAGCTACTGCTGAAAATCGTTCCGAATTATTTACTTGTTATAAGCATTTTTTTTCCAGATGATAATTTTATTAATTGGAAAAGTGAGCTTAGGCAATATAGTTTTGAATGCTGAAGTCAATAATACAGGCTGGAACTACACATAGCGGAAAATGCAAAGTGACTTCAGTTCCCGCACACAACACAGGCCCTGGTGCTATTTAAAAATGGTATACTTTTAAAATTGCACCACAGCTTCCATCCCCAGTCAGCACTGGAAGCGGTGGCAATGTTGTTCTTGCTGGGGAGGGGTGGCTCCATTTTTCCGGCATGTCTACCAGACAAGATCTGCCCTAACCCCTGCGCTGTCACCCTGCAGCTGTTCCACATCCTGCTTTAATACTGGAGCAGTTTTGTGCCTGTTTTCAAATAACCTGTAGCAAAGAGCTTACTGTGGGTTATCGTAATGTGTAGTTGTGATCATGATTAACAGTACTGATGGCAAAAACAGACTTGCCTGCCAGGCTTCCTGGACTGATTAAGACACACTTTGTGGAGGAAAAAATTGTTGGAAAAAATAGGATGAGGCTCCGGACTGAGCACCAAAACAGCTCCCTCAGGTAATTACTTTTTCAAATCAGTTTCTTTGATGTGCTCAGTCCTATAAACACCTACACAGAGGTTAGTTCCATGGAATTCATTAGGACTTATTTCTGAGTTGAAGGGCATGAGATTGGAGAAGACATATATGAAAAACTAAGTACACCTTATGATTCAATAGCTTGTAGAATGGCCTTTAACAGCAATAACTTGAAGTAATGATTTTCTGTATGACTTTATCAGTCTCTCATATTGTTGTGAAGGAATTTTGGCCCGCTCTTCTTTACAACATTGCTTCAGTTCATTGAGGTTTGTGGACATTTGTTTATGCACAGCTCTCTAAAGGTCCCGGCACAGCATTTCAATTGGGTTGAGGCCTGGACTTTGGGCCATTGCAACAATTTTTCTTTTTCAGCCGTTCTGTTGTAGTTTCACTGGTGTGCTTGGGATCATTGTCCTGTTGTTTGACCCAATTTCAGACAAGCTTTAGCTGTCAGACAGCCTCACATTTGACTCTAGAATACTTCGATGTACAGAGGAGTTCATGGACAACTCAAGGACTGCAAGGTGCCCAGGTCCTGTAGCTGCAAAACAAGTTCAAATCATCACGCCTCCACCACCACCACTTGACACTTGGTATGAGGTGTTTGTGCTGATATGCTGTGTTTGGTTTTCACCAAACGTGGTGCTGTACATTATGGCCAAACATCTCCACTCTGGTCTTGTCTGTCTAAAGGACAATTCCAGAAATCCTGTGGTTGTCCAGATGCAAACTTTTCAGGCCTAACCCGGACTGGCAACCCTTCCAAACAAGCCATACTTGTTCAGTCTTTTTCTAATTATACTATCATGAATTTTTAACATACTAACTGAGGCCTGTAGAGTGTGAGATATATGCTTGGGGTTTGTTTGTTTGCAACTTCTCTGAGCATTGCACGGTCTGACATTGGGTTGAATTGGCCTAGATGTCCACTCCTGGTAAGACTGGCAACTGTCTTGAATGTTTCCCACTTGTGAATAATCTTCTTGACTGTAGAATGATTGACTTTAAATTGTTTGGAAATGGTCTTTTAACAAACTCTTCCCAGATTGATGGGCAGCAACAGTTGCTTCTCTATGATCATTGCTGATGTGTTTCCTCCTTGGCATTGTGGTAACACACAACTGCATGCTCCAAACCAGCAAACTACTAAAACTTCAGCTTTTATAGAGATAGTCATATTTGTTGATAAGCAATTACTCAAGGACATTTGGTTAGCAGCACCTGGCTGCTACGTAACCTCTTAATTTCTATGGAAGCAGTAAGGGTGTACTTAGTTTTCCACACAGGCCTTCTCCATTTTGGCTTTATTTTTGTTAAATAAATCATGTCATAGTCTAATATGTCAAGTGTCGTTGTTCATCTGAGATTGTATTTACTTAATTTCAGACTTGCTAAGGACCAGATGATTTTTATTATGCTCTGATATGTAAAACCATAGAATTCAAAGAGGGTGTACTTTCTTTTTCACATCTCCCTCTCTTGCATGCTACACACACACACTTTTTGTGAACTTTTTTTTGCAATGTTGCACTAAAGACAGTGAATTTACTAAGACCATGATTAATCTATCACTGAAGAAAATTACATTAAATGTTTTTTTTTAAAAAATCATCACCCTTTCCTTTATTTTTTAGTGCCGTGAAAAAGTTTTGCTTTGCAGTTGCCTTGAGTTCATACTTATAATTACAGGTTTCAGAAGGCAAAATGGGAGGCACAATATTCTTAAATTCTTCTGCTAAGAGTTCCCTCCTCATAATTCTGTTTGATCCTGCAGGCAATATGTCTAGCAAGCAGTTTTCATAGCATCCATTTTCATTTCTTTCACGCCAATGGAATGAAAGGCACTTAATAAAGTCAGCAACTTTGTTCCTGATCTTGTGACAAGTTCCTGCCACTGTTGATGAACTCTTGTGAACTAATATATTGGGAACTGAAAGACGCTTGACATATAATCATGCCAAAAGTTTTATCTAACAATTTGTGCTTTATTACAAGTTTATATTATAAGGCCAAAAAGAACTGCTGCAGCAATTTCAAAGAAGGCCAGAATTTAAAATTGGGATTTACGAGTGTGGTTGAGAAATAGGGGAGAAATTATGAAAAAAAAAAGACCCTGGATCCTCTCCCCGCTCAATATGGTAGAGGGGAGAAATTCAGTGAATAACTGAATATATAAACGACAAATTAAAATTAAAGATAAGGCATTTCAGGTTCTTAAAATGGTAATATGATTGCCAAGGTAACTACAGGTATTGCATATTTCAGCTATTTCAAAAAAAAATTAACTCTACTACTTCAAATGTCTATTTTTTTAAAAAAATCTCTCCTTTTACACATGATAGTGATGTGATAGTGTGACAGTGGATACAGAAAGCCATAGTATGCTTTTTTAAAATAACTGTTAATTTCATACCATTTGATGTCTGTGTGAATCAAAGTGAGTTCTACAGTGTCTCTTAAGTATATAAAAACTAAACCACACATGCACAAAAGGGCTGTAGAGGTGACAGTGCAGGGGGGGGAGGTCTGTCTCCGTGGTCCAGTCCGGCCAAGGCCACAGACCAGCATCGGGCCGTGGCCTGGGGGTTGGGGACCCCTGGGGTAAGTGACACCATGGTAAACTGTTATAGAGAAAATATATAATAGAAAAGGTATGTAATTTATTGCTAAGCAGTTTCAAAAAAATCTTTTAAGGGTACAATATATGGTGTCCATGCAGTGGCCAGGATGCCCCAGGCCCCAACCTATTCACAAAGTAAATAACAGCAACATTCACACACACTGAAACGATACGAATTGAAGCAATGCAGTGACTGGATCATTTTTAAAAGGCCATCTTGGCAAGATGGAAAAAAACAGATTAGCTAGCCAAATGAATAAATGTTATCCATGTTTCGTGTGAATGGAAATGTATAACAATTTAAATGTCAGAACTGAGACGACTGGGGTTCTTTTGGCACGTGTGACTGCACTGTGAGTTGTTTGCAAATGGTGAAATATGTTTATCCAATCTTCCCTGTTCCATATTTGGTAGTAATGAATTCACATCTTTGCCTCAGTTCCTAGGTCTTTCCGTTTTCATTTTCCATGTCTTCTTAGTTTCCAATTGTCATCATGCCCCAATTCTTTGTTAATACTTCACTTTGAAATAAATCTCTTCCCTTGCAGTTATAGATTTTTAGAAATGACTAATCTGTTTAATCTTTTCAAGGATTTGTTAGGTGTGGTCCCAGAGCTGCAAATGATCAGAGCAGTAAAACTCCCAGTTGGAGGACAGCCAAGCTGAACAGTCCAAACAATCAAACTCAAACTCCAGTTGAACAGATAATTGCAGGTGCTCAATAAACATGGGGACAAATTTTAAAAATGGAGATAGTCAGAAATCGTTGATTTGTGCAATATTCATTACTTTGCATTCATCAGTTCCTTCAGAAATTGCTGATTTGTGTAATATTCATTACTTTGTATTCATCAGTTCCGGAGGCCGTGACAAATATGAAGTGACAAATATTTCCCCTTTTTATTCATCCCTTCATTGGGCCTGGGCCAAAAGAGCAAGCTATGCTTCTGGAACACCTGTTCTGGCAGCCTAGTTTGCTCTTTCTGACCTCACAGCCCGCCCCTGCCTTTGCTGTTGTTGCCGTTGCTGCCACTGCCAGAACTGAAGCTAGGCCACCAGAAAGGAACCACAGCTTCCATTTCAGTGCGCCGCCACCAGGCCATGGTAAGGAGGCAAAGGCAGGCAGTGGGAAGGGGGTGGGGGCTTCAGTTTTTCTCTTTAGACAACCACAAGTTGTCTAAAGAAAACCTTACAAACCAATTTGTGGTTTGTCAGAAATCCCTTGGGAAATTCATGGGTCATCAATCTGGACAACCCACAAAGACCTGCCATTTTGGCAGTTCATCCACATGTCTAGTGTACAATGCCAGAGTTAAATACTGGAGAATAAAAAATAACAAATGTTCTAGAAAGGCCCATGCTAGTCTGTGCAAGTATGTTGAGCTTACCCCAGTCTTGGGGGGGAGGGGAAGGGGTGCCAAATCTACCTTGTACTTCTCAGTTTCACCAGATCATGATAGCCTAATAAGCAATAAAGTATCAAGAGATAGCAACTTTCCAAATTTGCTTGCTTACATCAGTTCTATTGTGTTTTTCCTAAACTGTCAAGAGCTACCCACCAGCCTCCACACCAAGTCAGAAATAGATACAGTCTAATAAGACCTTGGAAGTAGAACACAGCAAGGACAACAAATATGGTGTTATAGCAATAGGAGCAGATATACAATCGAAACAGGCAAAGTCTGAAATATCTGCTTGCAGAGCTCTGCTTTCTGGGATACTGAAACATTCAGCCAGGCATTATCCTGCTAGCCTTTGTTGAAGTGTTAAATGATCTATTTAGCAAACTGATAAGATATGCGTGTTCTTTTTCCAAGTATGATTCTTTTTACCTTTCACATTTATGCTTGGAAGCAGCTCCATGACAAAAACCAGTTGTATTTGATTTACATTTTAAAAAAATTAAAAATCAGATTTTTTTGATGATTTAAATAAAAAAAACAATTTTCAATTTAATTTTTTTTAAAACAAATACATTATTATCCACCCTGACAAAATGCAATGAAGGCAGACAAAAGTGATGCCTAAGAAATAACAACCTATTAAACAAAGTGTTAGAACTCTGTAGAAGAGTGAGATTATTAAATGAAAGACTATGAATTCTCTAAACACATCAGAGAGACACAAGTCATGCCATTATTACAATTTCAAATGCTATCAGCACCAGTACAGCTTACAGCATCAGCTTGACACAGTGTACATTAGACAAACACAGTATAAAAATTTTATCTAAGTATGAATGACTAGTTGGCTTCAGAGTCCCAGTGCTGTGTCATATCAAAAACACACTTGTACAATGGAGGGATTTTGTGCAGTTTTATGGGTTGGTTCATGCTCCAGCCCAGCAAAATATTTAAACACCAAGATGGCACCACTTAGACCTCTGAATAAGCACCAAAGCAACTCATATATCGACTTTTGTTTGTCCTACCTATGCATTTTGCTGATCAGATGAATCTTTATGATTTTTTTCCTTCTTCGTGCAGGGATTAATAGATCTGTTCAACACTGTCAACTGCACAATGAAAAGAGGAAAGGAGCACTGACAGGTGACAACCAGAAGTATTCCACCAGGCCGTACTGCATGTAACCTATTATTAAGCCGCAGATCACATCTGTCACATTGTGTCTACCCAGCATAACTCGGGAGATTCCCACAACAAAGACCCAAAGAATCACAAGCACCCGCAGAGGGAGCGCCAGTACAAAATGATGTAGAATAAACCGGCAGACCAGAGCAGCTCGGGTAGCATGGCCGGAGGGAAATGAATACTTGTCCACGGAGACAGTGGCAAACATGTCCATCCTGTTGTAGGCTGGGCGCCTTCTTTTTACCAGTCCTTTTACTGCAGCCACCAACACTAGATCGAGCACCAGAGCTGTGGAAAAAAAAGGTAAATAAAGAGCTTTCAGATGTTTTAAAGCGAAACACTGTATACAACCAGAATCCAGAAAATTTTTATCAACCAATGGTCACTGATGACTTCAGAAAAGTACAATCCCCAAGAAGTTTTTTGTTCTCCTTCCTAACAGTCCCATATTTCAGCAGTACAATTAGTCCCTGATAAGAACTACAGCTCAAACTGCCATCCGACGCTGGGCATACTTGACCATATCTGACTTCAGCAGCTGAGCACAAGAAATACTTAGACGAGTAAATCGCTGGGAGATACCAAGACCTCTTGGTAGTGCCGAGAAAGAATCTTGCCTGAAGCACCAGTGCCAAGCTTGGCAATACTGGGCTAGAGGAACCAAGAGCCTGACTCAACACAAAGCAGCTTTTTATGTTCTTATGTAAATCTTTCCTCTCATGAACAAATTTCTGAAAAATACTGCAGTCTTTAGGGGGCAGAATCTCTAAGTGATCCAACTATAGAAATAAACTGAGTAATCTTTTTACTGGTCCACTAATGACATACAAAGTAAACTTTCAATTTGTCTGGAACTCTTCATCAGGCAAATATGATGTAAGATTTGGGGGTGGGGGGAAGAGTTAAGTAAGCTCCAAATTGTACAATATATAAAGTTCATTCTTTTTGAAAACAGATTGCAAACAAGGTGTGGTTGAGTTTGCAAAATCAGTGTTGCATTGACCAAGATGTCAATACAAAGGCAAGGGTAGGTGATACTTTTATTGGTCCACTAGAAAGATTGAACACAGCTAGCTTTTTACCTACATCAGTGTTCCTCAGATTGTGCACGAATATACTGTGGACAGTGGAGAAAAAAATCCCTTTACGGCCAGCCAACAGTTACTGGGACAGAGTTTGAAACCTCACTCCCAATGGTGTCTGCTGTCTGCATTTTTCAACTTCACTTTATAGAAGCAGACCAGGGACAGACATCTGCCAAGAATTTTTGGAAGTCTCGTATGTATTTTTTTCTGTGTTGTTCACAGTATGTTGGTGCACAGCTTGAGGAAGACTGATTTAGGTTGAAAGCTACATATTTGTTCAAATTTTTAGTGTTAAAAGTATTGTATGCCCGTGCCTTTGTTTTGTATAAAGACCAGACATAGGCACTTTGAAGTTGTATCCAGGGGTTACAAATATGAAGTTCAGCACCACAGGTGCCACAGCAGTCCACTCCCTCCCCCCAGAACCAACCTGGTCCACTCACTGTGCCCTGTGCAGTGCGCGCATGTCCATCAACATTGTCATCATGCCAACTGCTGGAATACTCCCACTGGCACTTTCTCACCTCTCCCCATAGTCAACTGCTCAGCAGCTAAGCAGAGAGACTCATCTTCCCACCTTCTCACTGGAGTTGTCAGCTGTGGGGAAGCACCAGCATGATGATGATGCTGACAGATGTGCCTGCTGCACAAAGTCCAGCCCGTGGACTGAGCTGGTTCTGGGAGACAGGAATGGACCACTGTGACACGCATAGTGCCACACTTGTTATTCCAGTTTACAGTCTCTATCCTATCCTCAAGTTTTATGTAACTTACTATGCTAAGCAACAGGATTTCAGCCACTGAATCTGAAAATACCATCTTGCCTTGCTAGCATTCTGTATTCAATCATAATAGACATCACATTTAGCCCACTTCTTTGGACTATTTGCCTCTTATATCATCATTGCCTGAGGAAGAGTTCCAGAGAAGTCAAAAGCTGGTTTTGTTTTTAGTGATACAATAAAATGCAACTCAGAATTTCCTTAGAAATTTTCAATGCTTTTCCAAAAGTGTGTGTTGGGGGCTGTGGTGTGTGTAAAGAATAATTCATACTAAAATGTAACACAGTAAATGTTAACAGTAATGACAAAATTATGTCAAACACATTTGTTGCAGTTTCAACAGCATTTTGATAATACATATCGTGTGAACAGAAATCATTGCAGTGGGAGATTCTTGATATACTGATAATAGGACCAATCGCCACAACAGAAGAAGAAATAAGGAAGCTTGCTGGTTAAGTAAAAGAGAGCTCTTACCAAAGAGCAAGTTGAGCAGCACCTCACACCATGCTGAGCTGTCACTTCTACAAAGCCCATACAGAGTGACAGCTAGCCAAGGAATGCCATGTCCCGAGACCTCAATGAGCATCATGAGAGGGCGGGCACTGCCCCAAGAGGAACTCTCTCCAGCACATACTCCAAGCTGTTTAGAAGCCCAAAGATCAATGGCTAACAAGGAACGCAAGGCAATGTCCACAACAGATGGGTTCAGCTTCATGCAGTCTTCTTCAGGTAGAGTCTGTGGAGACCCAGAACTGCCTGTGTAGTCCTTGCGACGCGATGGACTATCTGGAGGTGATGGACTCTTCTGGCCTATCAGTGACAGGAATTCCAGCCTGTTATCAAGAGCTCTTCGATCACGGCTATTCTTTGGGCTATTTCTAGGGCTGGGCATGATGGTGTTGATATAGGTGATCTCTTGGAAGAGTAAAACAGAAAGATTTTATTGAAGGCACAATTTAGTTGACCAATCACATAGCTCTATAAGTGACTATTTAGAAGCATCAGCGAGTTCAGTAGGGACCCCATATGCACTGGGGATTGGTTCTGGAGGGACACAGTTGACCATCCCTGGTGTACAGGATTACAACCCAAATCAATTATTTACAATATTTATTTATTTACAATATTTTTCAGCCGCACCATTGCCAGTGGCTTAAGTAGCAAAAACTGTCCAGTTTGTACTTAAAACCAATTCAGCAAAGAGCTCATGTAAAAAGTGTTATATCATTAAATCCCCAATTGCTACCCAGTCTTAGGGTAACAAACATTGCAAAAGTTATGACCTTTCCCATGCCAAATTATAAATTATACCAACTGGTGTGTTTAAAGTCATGGGCGAAGAGCAGAACACAGTTTAGTTTAGAGTCAAAATGGTTTTTAATTTTTACTTGCTTTAATTATTCAATTGTATTTTAATTAGGATATAGTTTAATTTTTTTAACTTACTATGTTTTTATTTCTATGCCTTTTAATATTTTGAGCCACCTTGGGTCTCCTTATCAGGAGAAAGGTGACTTATATATGAAACAAACAAATAAATAAAATACATAACTGGCAACATGCAGCTCAAGCAACAGTTACTGCAATTATCCAATTAGTCATTTATGAGTACTACTGATATGGTTTTAGGCATGCCCTGTGATTTTGCCCCACACAACAGATACTTTGAATAAAATATAACATGCAAGGAACTTCAATTTCATTTTTGAAACAGCATATTTCTTTCTACCCCTTATGAAAGCAAATTGAATCTTGAAAATGTGTGGCCAATGCCTGGTGAAATTTCAGAATTTGGAAAAGTAGGCAGAGCAGGCTAAGATACAGGATTTCAGAGCCCTACACAGTATTTCTGCTTTTCTACATCTAATAAGCAGCAGAATCATGAAAAGTTGCCCAGTCCTCATTGGCTATTCTGAGGCTTTTGGAATGCACTACCCTGAGAAACCAGCCCTATCCCCTTGTTAGCCAAACACCTTCCTTTTCAGGCAGGCTTTTAAACAGTAAGCTTTAGGAATCCTGCATCTATTGGACAAAATCTTCTTCTGCAACTTATATATATAGTGCTTTTGTTTTGCATGTGTCTGACTTTGCTTTTATATTAACAGACAGAATATACATAATTCTATATGCAGTCCTTTCATGCAATGTCAGCTAAATACCACCCAACCATTATGTCAGACAGGGAAAAGAATAGTCATGTGAGAAGACATATCACATCCATTTGTGTATCTCTTTATCAATTTCAATCTCACAATCATAAAATATTTTCTTGGTAATTTTAATATAGATATTGTTGATCTCCTTCTAAAGCACCAGAACAAATGTCCTTGAATGATTTGTTTATAATGTTCCAGGAACTATGATTATATTTTAACAGCAAAAATATGGCAGGGCAGCACTTGCAGAAACATGCTATCCATCTGCGAGCTAAGCAACCTGCAAAAATGTACTTTTAAAAATATGACTTATATACAGTTGCCTTCACTTACGACCATAATCCGTTCCAGAGTGATGGTCGTAACTCGAAATGCTTGTAAGTCGAAGCACAGTTTCCCATAGGGATGCATTGAAATGCAATTAATCTGTTCCGGACAAAGAAAAAAATAACCACCACCACCCAAAAAAAAATCATTGCAAGACTCATTGGAAACATAATTAAGCCCTTCCGGCCAAACGGGGGGAAGAAAAGCAAGGGAAGCATGCAGGGCCCATTGCAAAAGCACAGAAAACAAACGGAGCAGATTGGAAATTCACAGAGAATGAAGGGACAAGGTCGGAAATGCACAGAAATCAAAGGGAGCAGATCAGAAATGCAAAGAGAACAAAGCAGAAAGCAACGGAAGCATGCAAGACACATCGAAAATGGGGGGAACCCAAAAAAGCAACCAAACGCCCCAAGACCCATCGGAAACGGGGGGGAACAAAGTGCCCCAAGACCAAAAGAAATGGGGGAAAACACTCTAAAAAGCAACCAACCCCTCCACCAGAAATGGGAGGGAAAAACCCCAAAAGCAAACTCCCACAAGACCCATCAAAGCACAGAAACATTACCCCCCCAGCCGAAAACGATGCTGCAAAAATACCAAGAACAGTTTTTTAAAAGCATAAAGCAGCACCATACTTTAGCAGGCAGCCTCCTCGGATCGCACACTCTCTAACTGCCGGGGCAAAAAAGCTACAAAAAAAGCAGTCTCTTTCGCCACCTACAGTTAGCAATTTGAATTTCCCACCTTTTTTCCCTGCCATTTTCTATTCATTAGTAGAAGCTCCGGTCACAAGTAGAAGCAAAATTTTGTGGCCGGAGCTGGTCGTAAGTCGAATTGGTCATAAGTAGGCGGCGTAAGTCGAGGCACCACTGTATTAAGGATTTCTGAAAAGTTGTAATGTGCAAATTGGGGTGGGAAATACGGTCAGATGCAAGGGCCAGTTTTCTGCCCCTGCCCCTCAGTTCCTCAGACACTGTATAATAAAGAATCTGGGAGAAGTCTAGGGCCACAGTCTTGCCAATTTGTGGTGTAAATAAACCACGTTTGGATCTCTTAAAAATAAAAATTAACCATATCTTGTTGTTCCCTAAAGGCCAACACTTTATTCCAGTCAAGCGTATCACAGACAATAATTCCCTTTACTAGAGCTACAAAATGCTATGCACGGCCAGATAAATATTTAACAGGCATATCGACAAGATTAAATGTGCCTAGCGGAGGGTGACCCGCAAGGTTAAAGGTCTGGAAATCTGCAAGAGTTGAGTATGTTTAGTCTGGAAGAGAGAAGACTCAGAGGCAACACAGCAGCTATCTTCAAATATGTGAAGGGTTGTCACGTGGAAAACAGAGCAAGCTTGTTTTTTTGTCACTTCAGAAAACAGGACCTAAACTAATCGATTCATACTACAGTACAAGGAATAAAGTTTCATCTAAATGTTAGGGATACAGTAATTTTTTTTTCTTATAGCAATGTATACTAGACTCCACTGCAAATCCAGATGCCAACTCTACCCTCTTATCTACCCTGACAATACCATTTTGTCACCAAATAATTTAAACTGCATCAGGGGTTCATTCACAACAATAGTTCATTCACTTGCACAAGTTTAGAATACAATATATTCCATCTTTACCAATAGTATTGTTTTGCCTTAAACACAAGACAAACATAGCCTGATTTCTATGCAAAAGAATTAATAGATAGAGGTCTAACATTAGAAATGGCAATATTCAAAAGCCAAGGGGCATTGCAACTGTTCCAAAATGATTTCCATAACCTCAAAACAGTGGAGCAAAGAAACTTCAAAAAGAGTGAGACTGCTTAATATCCTTCCATCAGAAGCTTCCCATTTTAAACAGAAGATTAACTCAAGATGAAAAGTTCTTACCACACTACATGTGTTCACTGTCTTATCATATACCAGACGATGCATGCTTTTAACAATCATTTTGTGAATGGCAAGTGTTAACAGTGTAACTATCACCATTAGTACTTTCTATACATTTCAGGCCTCTGATAGAGTGGACTGTATGCCATGAAAGCTTATGCTATAATGAGAGTCATTAAATTTCTAAATTATCTGAGGGTGACACAAACTCAAAAATAATCTCAACACTGGCATCAAAGAGACAAGGCAGTTGGATTTGTAGTTAGGAGCTGGTAGTATTTAATTACCAGCTCCTAACTACAAATCCAACTGCCAAATATGAAAAGGAATTACAAAACCTTATGAAAAACATCCCTGAAAATATGTGAACAAACCCTTACATACTGTAAGAACCTCAACCAGCCAACTGCTACCAAAAATACACAAACCAGGAAACCACAGTAGGCCGAATGTATCAAGTATTAATACAGTCACTGTTGGGGTATCTGGATACGTGGCCTCCATCCTCAAACCATATGCCACCAGTGCACCTAGCTATGCAAGAGATTTCACACACTTTCTAAGAAATCTTCAATCATGACCTCCCTGACAACACCATCCTAGCTATAATAGATGTAGAAGCTCTCTACACTAACATCCCACAGAGAAATGGACTATGGGTTGTCAGGAACACCATATAAAATAAGGACAAAGCACGCATGGCCACCATCCTCTGCAACTTCATACACACAAGTATTTCACCTTTGACAATAAAACCTACCTCCAGATCAACAGAAACGTCATGGGTATGTGCATGGCTTCACAATATGCAAATATATTTGCGACTAACCTAGAACAATGACTTCTTGACTGTTGTGCCCCAAAACCACTCCTCTACTTGAGGTACATTGATGACTTTTTTTTGATCTGGACTCATGGAAGGAAGCCCTAGAGAATTTCCACCAGGATTTCTATAACTTTCATCCGAATATCAAGCTTAGCCTGGACCCATCCCCACAATAGAAGCATTTTCTTGACACCATGAAGCTACAACATGGACATCTTAGCATGACAATGTATCAAAAATCCATTGATCAATGGGCCTCCAGCTTCCATCCTGAACACACCACTAGATCTATCATTTACAGAAAAGCCTTCAGATACAATTGCATCTGCTCAAGTGCACAAGATAGAGACTCCAAACTTAAGGATCTCCAAAATGCATTTTCCGAACTACAACACCCACCCAATATGATTAAGGAACATATTAACGAAGCAAGACAGGTAACCAAAAGCAAGCTACTGCAAGACAGATCCAGAAGAGAAAATGACTGAACACTGCTAGTCATCACTTTCAGACCACCACTTAGCCTGCTCGCATATATTATAAATGATCTCCAACCCATCCCTACTTCATTCTCCCAAACGGTGGCAGGCCTATACTTGCTTACAGACAGCCCAAACTATATCTTAGAGCCTTGCATGAAGTCTTTGTATTCTAACTCATATGTCTGAAGAAGAGGACCATGTTCCATGAAAGCTTATATTAAAATGTAAGTCTTTAAAGTGCAACATCATATTTTTTGGCTTTTGTTTTGTGTTTCTTGTCAAAATACTTGTACAGACTAACATGACCACAACTCCAAAAACTACAATTATCTTTGTTGCATTTGCTGCAGCAGAGTAACATATTTATTCTAGGTACTCCTTAGATTTCTACCTCCTCTCTCCTACAATAAGCTCAGAGTACTTCTTCTCCTTCTTCTCCTGACTTTATCATCACAACTGCCCTAATGTAGATTGGATTAGAGAAAGTGATAGATCGAAGGCCCCCTGAGTTTCAGGGCTGAGTTTAATGACAGTATGACATACTGGTTGAAATCTTGTTCCTTTCTTATGTGTGCAGAAAGCAAATGGCATAGCCTTCAGTTGCTTCTAGCTGCCAATTAGCAAGTTGCTACTGGGATTCTCATGAAGGTTGCATGTCCACTGACTCAACATGCACTGGAGAATCCCAGCAGGGACTTGTTAATGGCCAGCTGGTGAGTGCTGGCTAAAATCCAGTAGCAAAACTTATACCACGTAAGGTTGATGATTTCAACAGCCACTGCAACTTTTCATAAATTAAATATTTTTGGTTCTCCCCACAAAGGTCCCAAAGTTCTGTTGGGATCCCCTTCATCATGGGGTGCTATTGCACCATCGGAGTCTTTAATTTCTGAAAATTGCCACCACTATGATTTTACCAGAAATTGCAATTTTTGAAATTAAAGCTTTCTCTCTTCATCCTGCACCTTCAACAGTTCCCCTTTGATGAAAGAGAGTCCAAGTAAACTTTGACTGGAGGGGGGGGGGATCAGAATTTTTTATTTTATGAAACTGCTGTAGCTGACAATATATGCTCATTACTGAATTTCAACCAATTATACTATTTGCCTTCAAGATGCATAACAAGGCAATGGGATTTCATACACTATTTAATATCCCTACACTCTCAGGTCTCAATTATAAACTAGCAGTAACTTGCAAGTAGAAGAGGGAGTTCTTTTTACACTGACTCTATATTAATTTCACAGGAACCTTTCTGGTAAAAAGTAATTTTTCATTTGCAAATTAGCTTGCTTTGTTTTCTGACTGATCTTTAAGTCATAAGTAACTTCTTTTCTGATTTCTCAGGTGTAAAACCATTCCTCAGTTATACCCATTCAACATTCAGGATTCCTCCAAACCACCATTTATTCCAGTCAACCTTGTGCTACCTGGTGCTAAATGAGAGATTTACTAGTATCTGCACTAAATCATATATTTAAAAACTCCCTTCTCTTTAAGAAATCAGCATCACTTTAAGAAATCTTGGGAAGGGGGAATTCTAAAATGAGTTCCCTGCTAGGTGTGTTTGTTTTTGAATTTTTTAAAAAATTATTACTATCATTGACCAGGAAGATAAAAATAAAGCATCTGGCGCTCTAAGAGCAAATTCTCTCTGTGAGAGAGACTCAACTGATAACTAATTACTAAGGTTCAATTATCTCTGAAGTTGATATCGGAACTTAACAAGTTCCTTTGGCAATTTGCTTTGAAAATGATTGACTTACTGCCATTCCAGCACTGAACTTTCTTTTCCACGCAACGACACAGGGTGGATTAAAATTGATAATCTTTAAAGTCAGATTTTTTTATTTTAATCTAATTAATTTTGATGGAATGCTTTTGAAGAAAAAGCCTGTCTAAAGATAGTTTTCTGTTTAAGTTTCATTGTAATTCCAAGGTTATTCAGCATGAAATATTGCTTATGTAACATGCTGTATATTCGTGCAATATCTACATTTTTGGTAAATTAATTCAATTAATCGAAGTTATCCAAAGTGAGAAAACATGCACTTTTTCACAGTAAAATGGTATAAAATAAACAAAGTTCAGGAACAGACCTTAATCCTATTGTTGTTCTGCAAATCCATGTACAAACAATAAATATATCGCCTTAAATGCTAGGTTTGAAGACTGGAGTAAAATACATCTGTACCAGGCTCTAAGTGTGAGGAGGGAGGGGAAAACAGTAAAATTGAAAGTGAAACCTTCTGAGCAGCTTCCAAATGTTGGGATCATGAAAATAATTTTAAGTTTTCGGGTTTTCTAAAGATATTTTAGTCTACATCCCAATCAGTCTACATCCCAATCCCAGAGAAGAGCAGTGCCAAAGAATGCTTCAACTACCATACAATTGTGCTCATTTCACACGCTAGCAAGGTTATGCTCAAAATCCTACAAGGTAGGCTTCAGCAGTATGGGGACCGAGAACTCCCAGAATTACAGCTGGCTATCAAACGGGCAGAGGAACTAGAGACCAAATTGCTAACATGCACTGGATTATGGAGAAAACCAGAGAGTTCCAGAAAAACATCTACTTCTGCTTCATTGACTATGCAAAAGCCGGTGGATCACAGCAAACTACGGCAAGTCCTTAAAGAAACAGGAGTGCCTGACCACCTTATCTACCTCCTGAGAAATCTCTATGTGGGACAGGAAGCAACAGTTAGAACTGGATATGGAACAACTGATTGGTTCAAAATTGGGAAAGGAGTACGAAAAGGCTGTATATTGTCTCCTTGACTTATTTAACTTATATGCAGAATATATCAGTGAAAGGCCGGACTGGATGAATCCCAATCCTCCAAGCCAGAAATAAGATTGCCAGAAGAAATATCAGCAACCTCCGATATGCAGATGATACCACTCTGATCACAGAAAGTGAGGAGGAATTAAAGAACCTCGTAATCAGGGTGAAAGAGGAAAGTGCAAAAAATGGTCTGAAGCTCAACATTAAAAAAAACCAAGATCATGGCTACTGGCCCCATCACCTCCTGGCAAATAGGGGAAGATATGGAGGCAGTGACAGATTTTACTGTCTTGGGCTCCATTATTACTGCAGATGGAGACAGCAGCCAAGAAAT